TCCTTGACAAAGCTCCTTGCGGAATGGGCTGATCATGAACTGATCAACAGAGAACAGAAGAATGTGATGGATGCATTCCTTGTTGCTCTTCCCTTGCCTGAGCCCAGAAGAGTTGTCTGTTTTCGGGTAGCTGGCACATGGATGGGCAGAATGGGGTCACAGAAAGAAGCTGATGGGTGGGATTGCAGAGGTAAGTTTGTAGGACTGAGCTTGTTCAGGGCTGGCATATCTCTAGAAAAGTAAACACAGTTACTGGGAAAATGTGGGATGAGCAAGGTTTTTGGTGGTGGACCAAGGCACTCTACTGATCTTGAGAGTTGGAGAAATGGTTATCTGAGAGTCTCGCTGTAGCAGAACCATAAGATGATGTCCTGTGCTTTGCACAGTTCTCTACTATTGGCTTCTCACCTGAGCATTACTTTTGAACCCTAAAGTTGTTTTACCAGAAAGAAAAAAAGAAAAAAAAAGAAAAAAAAAAGGAAAAGAAAAAAGGAAAAAAAAAAGGGTTAGGGGGAAAAAAAGAAGGCTCTAAAACTTAGTTGCAGCTACCAAAAGGGACTGTCATACTGAGAGGTGAATGCATATGTGTGCTGGTTTTGGCTTGGATAGAGTTAATTTTCTTCATATTAGCTAGTATGGGGCTAGGTTTTGGATTTGTGCTGAAAAGTATGTTGACAATATAGAGATGTTTTCGTTATTGCTGAGCAGTGCTTACAGAGTCAAGGCCTTTTCTGCTTCTCACTCCACCCCACCAGCAAGTAGGCTGGGGGTGTACAAGGAGTTAGGAGGGGACACAGCCAAGACAGCTGACCCCAACTGACCAAAGGGGTATTCCATACCATATGATGTTATGTTCAGCATATGAAGGTGGGGGAAGAAGGAGGATGAGGGGGCATACTTAGTGATGGCGTTTGTCTTCCCAAGTAACCATTACACATGATGAAGCCCTGCTTTCCTGGAAATGGCTGAACACCTACTGATGGGAAGTGGGGAATGAATTCCTTGTCTTGCTTTGCTTGTGTGTGCGGCTTTTGCTTTACCTATTAAACTGTCTTCATCTCAACCCACGAGTTTTCTCACTTTTACTCTTCTGATTCTATCCCCCATCCCATTGGAGGGGGGAGTGAGCGAGTGGCTGTTTGGGGCTTCATTGCCAGCTGGGGTTAAACCACGACAATGTGGAAAAAGAAACAGGAAAATGGAGCCCATCTCTCGATATTACGAGTGATGATTCTTTTTTACACAATAAAATGAGGAGAAACAACAAGACTTTCAATCCATTTACTGGAACGCTCACAATTTTCAATTCAAGGTAAAAGGAGAATGAATATTGGATAGAGTGTAGTTGTGCAGCTGTGGTATGTTGGTAAAGAGAATGAGCATTATTTTAAAAAAAAAAAAGGCTCTTGCCAATTCTCTTTGTGTTACAGTAAGGTATGAGGCAGTGTCAGGCTGAGAAAAATACTGGAGATAGTTTGTTCCTTGAGCTTTTTAGGAATTTTCATTATCATTTGCTATCAGGAAGGAGGATGGGAATGAGGTCTGTTTATATAATTCTTGTCTTCAGGTGTTTCCAGCTGCACATTTTCAGTTATTACTTGTATCTGATTGCAGGTGAGGTGAGGTTTTGTGTGTTATCAGGGAGGGCTTTCAGATGGTGAAAATTTCGAAGGCTGCTATAACCCTTACTCCTAGGGTTGCTACTCTTTGCAATATTTTCTTTTTTTTTTTTTCTCCTAAAGAATAGTCAGCTGCATAGTCCTCAAATAATAGTTTGCTAATTCATTACATGAGTTCTATGTGGGAAACAAATGGAGAATATGGGTTAGCCAGTGAGGGAAGTATGTGGTGTTGTTTTTTTCACTGGTATTTACCCTCTTCAAATCCAAAATAAGCTGAAAGATTAGCCAGATTTATAGAAACATCACTTTTTATGAACACCACCCATGGAAATGTTAGCCCAAAGGGTGAAATGGTGGTTGCAATAGAAACTTTATTGTAACTACAATCATACAAGTATCTGTTAATGCTGACCACATAATAAAGTTGTAAGTTAGCTAGAAAGAGGACTATGTATGCCGCTCCCTGGGCTTCTAATAAAAACATTTTAGTGAGAAGAGTGAAGCCACTTACATGTCTGTTGCAAGGAAATGCTAAGGCTTAGGTGTATAAGCTTGCTTGGGGTTCTCTGTTTTTTAGAAACATTTAAGTCTAACAAGAAATGTACCTTTAAATAAAATAATCTGGATTTGTCTTTAAATTTGACATTTTTACACATACGCAAAATGTCTGTATCTTAGCCTATTTCATACTCTCTGAACTTTTAGTAAGACTGTTCATTAGAGAAATCCTCTAAGCTTTTAATTTTTATTTTTTATTCTGGGTGGTGGGTAGGGAGTTTGGGGGTAATGCACTTATGTTTCTTTTTCAGAAGTGTTCACAACTCACTTTCAAGTGCATGCTAAAATGTTGAATATTAAGAAGGCTTTTAATTATACAGTATTATTTTGCTCTATCGTATTAGCAGAAATACTCTGCAGAGCACCTGATTCTGTAGCCTTCAGAGATGTGAATTGGCTTTATTGCCATTGATAGAAGAGCTTTGTTTTTCTGTATAGATTATTGCCTTGCACAAACAAATAATGATTGTTTTGTTTGTTACGTGGGATAAAATACTGGGCCCTGACTTTGCAAGCAGTTTTAGGTAAACCTGCAGATTTGCATTAATAGCTTTTGGGGGGAGTTTAAAAAAAAAAAAAAAGAGCAGGATGAATATTTAAGAGTTTAGTCACTTATTATAGAGTAGCTTATTAAAACACAAAGTGATTAATGATACCATTAAATCTCATTATGTCATTTTATGCTGTATCTAAGGAAGCAATTAAACAAAAAGGTAATTGGCCTAGGTTAACTCTTGAAAATGATAAGTATTTACTAAAATTACAGAAAATGATATATTTAGAATATATATACGATACTTCATACTAGCAGGTATCATGCACTTTATTTACATAATGCAGAATTCCACAAACCTGATTAATGTTATGAATATACAATTACATAATCTGATATTTACAAGTACATTAATTGGAACATGGAGATACATACAAAATTATATTGAGGTATCTGCTTGCCCTTCTCTCCTTATGGCTAATAGTACAGTATATTTTTATACTCATTTGCAGTATTTAAATTATTCTGATTTTTAAAATTCTAAAAAGACATATATCAAAATAATCAGTTTTGACATAAGTTTCTAGTAACATATTTTTTCATTGAAACTACATCCCATTGTTGGAGTAATGCCTTTTAAAATGCATATTGCATATGACACCTGTGGTTGTAGCTGCTAAATATATAGCTAATGATGGTGTCAGTGGTGTAATGTGTTGTTGAATTTCCTCCATGAGCATGTCAGTGCACAGCAGGACTCCTGGGAGGATAGTCAGTGTTTTACAGGGGTTCTGCAGAGCAGTGAACCTGCTTTGCTGGATTTTGTAGGAAGGACTGTGCTGAGGAGATAGGATGATATCCTCTTAGAAATGTGATTGTAGCTCATTCAAAGAGGAGGTTTAAGAGCATGTTTTCCAAGTTTTGTGTGTGCTGGAAAAAGAAAAAAATAATTCTTTTCACTGGTTGTTTATGCTGTAAGCTTGTTACTTACAAAATCTTTTATTTTGTGTATTTTCTGAGAATTAGTCAAAAGAATCATTTGTAGTACTGCAACACAGTACCTCTGTCTGCCTGACTTCAAGGCAAAAACTAAGCAAAACAAGGACGGTTAAAGCAAAGACTAAGATAAGGTGAGCTGAAAAGATTGATTGTGACATTCTGGAGAGACAGGAAAGATAGTACTAATGAAGATGAACAAAGCAGAAGCAAAATATCTTGATCCATTTTGCTAATTTACAGCAGCAAGATGGAATTGGTGCAGTGCTTGGTGTAGTATCATGAGCAGGATCCAAATAATAGCAAGAAAATTCTGCAGGTGCTGAGGGGTCTCATACATGATGAAGGCAAATGCTGATCATGGGGAAGTGACATTTAGCTACAAGTGTCTATAGCATGCAAGCATCAGAGGAAAAGCAGTAATTGAGTGGTTGCCTATAACTAGAAATACTAGGATAAAATTGAGGTATAGCTAAATGAGGCTTCGTGTCAGAAGAAAGCCTAAAGCTACGTTCTCTTAGTGTGAGAAGCTGTTTTGGAAGCAATTTTGTTACAGTTGTTCAGAACTGGACTGGATGATAATTTATTTTTTTAAAGTAGGATCCTTGATAGAGGCATGAAGGATATGACTTAGTATCTCCACAGTTATCTTAATTGCAGTCAACCACAATTCGGATTACACCACTGGATTGAAAGCTCGTTAAATTGGAAACAAATGCCAAATACATGAACCTTGTTACTTATCTTCCTGTTGGTGAAAATGTTTTTTGATCCTTGTGTGTGATGTAATAGAAATGTTGTGAAGTAAGGATTGGTATTTAAGAAATTTGCAGTGAAATGTGGTGCTGTGCGGAAGCCGTGACTTTGGATTTCTGCTCGTGCTGATGGAATCCAGGCCTGAGGAGGTTGGGGTGATGCCTGCTGTAGGTGTGTGCCTTCTCATGCCAGATGGGAGCAGTGGCTTCCTCCACTGTTCTCTGCAAGGTGTAGATTTATTGTGTTTATTTGGAAAGTGGAACTTAAAAATTAGAGAGGTTGATTATTTTTTTTTTTTCCCTTGGATGAAAGGAAGTAGAATTATGGGTCCTTATCAGAATCAACCTCATATTTGTATCTATAGGAGTCTTTATTAAACCTTCATTGGCAGTTTTACACCAACTTGCTCATCATCTTATTGACATCCATTGAAATCTACATTTCAGATAAAATATTTCCCTCTCATCTTCAGTGGGTAAAAATAATTCTATGAGTATATGAAAATCTTGGCTGAGTTACAATTTCTTGTACCCTGGATTATTTTTAGACTTAAGCTCTCTGATTTGTTTTTCTAGGATCCCCACGCTGAAGAGTTTGAAGACAAAGAATGGACGTTTGTCATAGAGAATGTAAGCTGGAATGTTGTTATGTTTTTTTTATACGTGTAAGACTGAATCATTTAAAAGATTAAAGGGTGTCCAAATGCTGAAAAAGGCTTGAGTAAAATTTGAACTGCTGAACTACAGTAAAGCCTTGCTCCATGGTAATAAAGACTTATTAAAATACCTATTGTGATGTTCCAATTAAAATACAGGAGAGGGAAGTACTATACTACACTGCTTAAATTCCTTCCCTGTAAGCATCAATCTTCCTTGCATTATTTTGCTATGAGCAATGGAGTAAACAAGTTAGAGCTGGGTTATGACTCATTGTTTTTTGAGTTATGACACATTATTTTTCTATGAGCAGGGGAGCGAACAAGTCAGAGTTGGTTTATGACATCCGTACATCCCAAATGGCAGCACACCCTTCCTGGTTTTGAACGCCACTCTTTAGCGAAGAGCACAGTTTCATCACCTGCATTTTATAGGTGAGAAAATTGAGGCAGGTGGAGAGGTGAGACCAGCCATGGTCATTTAAGTGAAGAGCAAGAGAGTCGTGACGTACCCCCTCCTGCCCCGAGTCTGGCACTCTCTGTATGGGGGAGTCATTTCGTGCACCCAGTGAAAACCCAAAAGGTGGCTTCTGTGAATCTCTGACTTCTGGGTCAGGAGCTCCCAGAACGTCCTGGAGAGCTGAGCTCCTGAGGGCTGTAGAAACACCACACTTTGCCAAACAGCAGGGCTTAACATTGTATAGAGTAAGTGCTTCTTGAAGTACTTTTTTCCTTTTCTTTCTCTGAGTTGGGCTGCAGCTTCCACTCTGGGGCTGCCCAGGCTGAAAAATTGGGGAACTGCTTTACTTTGAGTTTCCTTAAGAAACTTCTTTTTGAAATCCACTTCAAAGGACTGTAGTATCAAAACAGTGTGTTTATCTCTCATTGATATGGTTTCATTATGAACTGTTTCTCAGTAACACGATTTAATTTTTATTTATGTTGGCTTTTAAAAAGAAAAGTTACTCTCTTACTGAGTCAGAGTAGTACCACACAGCACTGAAGTGTGTGGAAGCAATGGAATTTGCATGTTATCTTTTTCGCCTAAAAATGCTGCTTTTTCTTTCTTGTCGATAACAAAAGTGATTTGGATGTTCAAAGGTAAGGTTTATTCTCATCACCAGTGACTGAACATTTAAAAGGGCTGAAAGCAAAGTGCTTAATTTACACTTTTGTTTTTAAATGTCAAGTTTCTATTTTCATTTACGAGGCTCAGGAACACAAAACACAGTTTAGTTACTGTTTCCTGGAGTTTCCTTTTCTTTCTCACTTAGTTTATTTTAATCAGGGAAGTCTCCCTCAGCAATTGTCACTGTACAAGTAACTCTGGATAAAACAATGTCAGTATATTTCTCAGCCAACCCCTCTTGGGTATAGTTGGGTTTCCTGTGATGTTGCAGCAGATTTTTTTTTCAGGAGCTTATAGTGGGCATGTAGACTTCATGTTCTAGTTTGTAACACATTGCTTTTTTTACGTCATCATATGATATATAGAGGTGCAGTAGTACTGCTGCTGCATGCTGTTCTCGCTCTGCCTCAAATCTGCTTCTAGCTGTAGTAATACTTGCAGGGTGGGAGGTTGCTTCGGTTGCTGTACCCCAAAACGTGGCCTCTGCCAAAACATAGGGAGATGGTTCCAATATGTATCAGTCATGGAGTAATCTTTTGTTATGTTCAAACTTACTCTTTACAACCTCACTTATGCCAGTTCATCCACAAGAACTGCCAAATAGTCATTGATAGGTAGATGTTTATCCTTAGATTAGAGGATATATAAATACTATCCTCAGAATAATAAATTTAATAGTTTTACTGCAAAAATTGAGAGCTAAAGCTACTATAAAACTGGTTGCTTTCAACCACCTCCTTGGTTGTTTTTTGTTTGGGTTTGCTTTTTTGGTTTTGTGTTTTGTTGTTGTTTGGGGTTTTTTTAAGACAAAACACTACTGAAAGCTGTAGATACTGCCAAAAAAATCTTGTCTGCAAATCTATTTTAAGATACAGAGAAACTCTTCTCCAAGAGTAACAGCTCCGCTTAGTGGTGGATGAAAATATGTTCATCTGTTGGAGCAAGTAATAAATGATTCAACGGCTGGTAGACATTTCAAAGCACAAAACCACCTGCTTATTAAAAATCTGGAAGTCAGGGAGGCAGGAGGTTGATCTCCTTCCTCCCTTACGTGGTTGACATTTACCCCTTTTCAGGCTTAATGTACGGTTTTCCTGGTTTTAAAGGAACATGTTTATCACTGAACCTGGCAAGGACAAGTCACCTTTAGGAAGTGTGGGGACATTTACAGTTCTTTGGGGACTTTTCCTTTTTGTCCAAGTACGTTCTTTGCCCTCAGAGGCTGCAGGGTTTCCCTTCCTCCTTGGTTAGCAACACTCAGAACGCAAAATACTGAAGCCTGAAAAGTTTATGAACATTCTTTCATTATGAAGCAATCTGAATTCTGCTAAAAACATTTCTTTTGAGCTTTTTATTACTATTAAATGTCAATCTCCAAAATAATTTTGTAATGCTTCAATGTGGCTGAGCAAAGATCAGCTAAAAGAGATACTCAGCTGAAGTTTGATGCCTCTGCTGGCAGATGCTACCAAATTCAAAACAAGATTATTCCGGACTTTGAGAGGAAGTAGTGGTGAGGTGATTTGTGCAAGATAACCGTGCTGTAAATGAAAATGAAGCAAGATATTTGGGGTCTGGTTGTGCATGGGGTTTTTTTTCTTTTTTGAGGGGTTTGTGTTGGGGTTTTTTTGTGTTGGGTTGGATTTTGGGTTGTGTTTTTGGTTGGTTTTTTTTTTTTTAATCCTGTGAATACATTTACTTTGTGATGCATCACTTGGGTTATTGTAGGATTTTTTTTCTAACTGTATTTTTAATGTCTTAGCCACTCTATATTCTAGATGAACCTTTATCATCTACTGTATGTCAAATCTGTAAATAATTTGATCATAGCATGGTTTCTTAATACTTAAATGTTGATATTCATTTTCCATCAGCCTCTTCCATGTCTACCTCCTTCACAGCTGCTTCTTTGTATATTTACTGCTAACTTTCTTGTGTCTAATTTCATCTTTGTTTAACCACACTCTCTGTATTTGATTTTCTGTTTGGTTTTGTTTGTTTGTTGTCTTGGTTTTTTCTGTGAAGTAGTTCTTGGAGTTGTCTTGTTTTTTGTGCTCTTCTGAATAATAACATTGGATGTTCAGATTGGCTGTTGCAAGTTGGAGAGCAAGAAATTCATAGCTAAGAATAAGATTCACTCATCTGTGGAGAGGTAATAGGCTTTCAAAATCTTACAGGTTGCCATTAGTTTGTTTTGCCTATTCAGTTTAGAGAACAAGGACTAGTTGCCTTTGATTTAAAAATATAAGCCACTTCCTCTAGTAAGTGAATTTTCTCTCTTGTTGCTCCTACGGGTAATTTGAACACGTACTGTTTCCACACTTTGTTCCTTTCACTGTCTGAGCTCCAGCTACCACTGTTATTTTTTTCAGCATTAACTTCTAATTTCTGATATGAATTGCTTTCTTGGAGTATCTGATGTACCAGTATCAACAAAGAGCTTCCGTGTGGCAAGAGACTCTATAGGTACCAAACAGCATTTAATGTCTCCACCAAACTTTCTGCGGGGTTTCCATGCTCGCCCATCTAAGTAAAAGAACAGTGCATGTTTCTAAATATATCTTTGTCTTTTAGCAGTAAAATAGTTTTCAAGTGGAGTGGCCAGTGCTGAGGCAATTGTTAAGTGTGCCCTCGGAGGTGCCAGGAAGAGGGCAGCTGATGAGTTTTAGTCAACTTGAAATGAAGACTGCATCTCTAAGAAGAGTTCAGCTGACCTGAAGCCTAGTTAATGGAAGAAGAAAGGGACAGGAGGGAAGAGTGGAAGTTTAAATTGGTCCAAATGTGTTGAAGCTTTCACTGGCTCTATGTACAAGAACTTTGTCTAAAATAAAGGTAGCTGAAGTGATGGAAAAATGTCGTTTTGCTTCCTAGCGTGCATGCAAAAGCACATAAGAACATCCATTGAGGATGGATCGTCACTTTTGCTTGTTAGCTGACAGCTTTGTAGACAGCTACCTTACATTCTTAAATGAAATTGAAAAAGTCATAGGATGTTTTCAGAGCTTTTTGTAGAAAATGTTTTTTTTGAGCCCAGATTTGTGTCTCTAATAGCGAATAAATAGTGTACTAGTATATTCCAAGGTTCATAGTAGGCTTCTCCATCTGCCCTCCTGTGCTTCGTGTTTCACCTTTCTATAGGTTATTCAAAGGGCCCAGGGTTGTGGTGAGTGAGCCCTTTCCAGTAACATCAATGTAATCAAGGCATTGGCAATCATTGCTGTATCGCTGATACTAACCATGTTCCTCTTTTTATGTGGCAGGCCTATTAAAACATGGTCTTTGCTAAATACAGAAGAGGACATCCCAGACCTACTAATTTGGCAGATGAATGGAGAAAAATACCCCACCTGTTTTTGAAGCTTTGCTCTTAGATTCATCTAGGCTGGGGCTGGAGGCAGCCTCACCTGTCCTGGCCTGGTGACTCAAGGCAAACACTTGCCTAAACTATTTTTAAAAAACTTTTTAAGATGAGGTCCCTGCCAGTGCTCCATTGCCCTTGCTGTTGGGAATCGTTCTGGCCTAGGTCTGAGTTAGTACAGTTTAAGGCTGCTATTTCTTGTCTTACTAGTTAGAGCTATGGAGAACAGATTCTGCTTTCTGTGTGACTGGAGGCTCCCTCCTTTCTTGCTTCTGACTAATCAACCACAATAATGTGATAGTGGTTACACATGGGATTTCATTTCCCTTGATTGCATTAGCAGATCATTAGCATTCTCTTTCTGAGGACTCATTTGTGTGAGTGAGTGTTCAGTGTCCTGCTCCGCTCACACTGCCCGTTGCTTTCAGGGATGACTAGTGCCCAGCTTTGCCTGCACAGCATCACCTACCTGGTGAAGTATTGCCCC